GGCTTGCTAGGACTCGGAACCAACGTGACGCCACATGGACATTTCTGGCACATGGGCTGCACTGGTCTGGCAGGAACTGATCTCCTTCTGCCCAGAGTAGCCTGGAGAGGAAGCGCCAACTGTATGATGGGCACTTCCTGTGAGATACAGTACAGCCTGTATCATGCAGCCCTGACAACAGTGTCAGGAGGAGGAGGGACTTCCAGCCACAAGGCAGATGGTGCAGGATGCAGATGAGAACACCTGCATTAGAGATGTGAAGCAGCTTGCCTGAGGCCACACAGCTTTTTACTGCCAGGTCTAGGCTGCAGCCCAGCAAGGTCAGCTTCACCCTAGGCCCTCGTGGCAACTGTATTCTGGGATCCCCATTGTGCCCATGGGAACTCATGATAGCCTAGTGCAACTTGCTGGCCTGAAGCTCACTTGGCAGCTTTGAATGAATGATCGCTGTTCTCTGGGCCTCAGTTTTACCCTCTGTCAAATGGGCATGTGACACATTCTAATTGACTACCCAGTCATTTGGAGGTGATTGAGTAAAGAGGAACTTCTGTTCTCTGGGGATTAGAAATGGGAGGGTGAGGTCAGCAGAGAGATGCTGACCTGGGTATCCCTGAGTCAACCCTGCCCCCGGCACCTCAGAGGCTGGACATTGGCCCACGAGCCAGAATGGAGACTCAGTAGTGAGGGGAGCTGAGGGCTGTGTGTTGCCTGTGATCAGCACACACGTGGTGTGGGTGGGTGGCCCCGTGTCCTGGCCGATGGACTCTGCCTCTGTTTGCTCCTCTGATAACTCTGCTGACCTTGGTTAATAATCGCCAGCAGCCTCCCCCTGCCCTCCGGATCCCACCGCTTAAATACAGGGCGGGTACAGGGCTCTTTCCCTCAGCCTGGTCACCTGTGGCCCTGACACAGTGAGTGGTAAGTATCCTAATGGGGACAGTCTGTGGGGGTGAGGGGAAGCTAGAAGGCCACAGTGGATGGAGCCCCCTGATCAGGTTCCCTGCTGCCACATCTCAGCTGTCTTGGAGCCATCTCTGTCCCCCAAGCCTGCCCTGAGGCTCCTCTGTGTCCATCAGCTGAACTGTTTCAGTCTGGCGCTCTTTGGGCAGACAGAGGATGTGGGGGCCCAGCTACAGCCATGACAACAGAGAACGCAGATACCCCTCTACCATCTTTTTAGGGTGATGTCCTTGTTGTATTTGGTGACCCCACCCTGATTATGTTTGAATCCATTTCCATCTCTGAGACAAAAAAAAAAGGTGGAGAATTTCCAGAAGCCCTGAAAGACTGGACTAAACCCAGTTAAACAGTGTTCTTACTGAGAATGGTGGACATAGAAGAACTAGTGTGAGCCCCTTGCCAAGCGCTGACCTCCGGCTACCAGAAGGACAGAATCAACAGGTGTTCTGTAATGTTTGGTAGGCTCCATCTGGATTATTCTGAAGCATGAAAATCATAGAAAAGATTGTGGAGGGAAACAGTTTTGGACTTTATCTTGGGTTCATGTTGGGAAAAGAGAGTTCACAACTTGAGGAGATAAATGAGACCCAACATGTGTATTTCTCAACTTTTTTCTGTCATGTTTTCAAATACCAAACTCTGAGAGTCCTTTCTTCTTGTACTTATGTGTGATGCTGATTTTGTTCCATGAACAATAGCTGGCTCTGTAGTCATGGACCCTTTTTCTTCTGTTTTGACTTTGGTTTGTTTACCCCTTCCAAGAAGAGAAGGGACTGGACTTGGACCAATTGCAGACTGTGGCTCAGGACTGAAAGTGTCAGGAGCAGAGGGAGCTGAGGGGGCCTGGCAGGGCTCTGTGTTGCTGAACAGGGCACTGACTTGGTCTTCCTCCAGGCCGAGCCTGTTCCCACTGGTTTAGGTACAGGCCTCACCACTCCCTATTGCCTCTCTTCCAGCCTCGAAACACTTTTACCTCACTGCTTGGCACTGAAGGCTTTGAACTTGTAACCTCTGTCAGTTACTCCTTGCAAAATTATACTTTGTCAGGTCCCTTCTAATTATGACATTTTTCACTTAATTGCCTCAGTGACCTTATTTTATGCATGAGATGTCTGTAGGCTGTAGGCTGAGGCATCTGTACAGAGGCGGCTCTGAGAGGTCACAACAGTGTGACAGATTTCAGATAAGAACCAAGGTCCCTGGAGGCAAAGTTGATGAAGCTTTGTCTCACATACTTTGGGCACATTGCTAGGAGAGATTATTCCTTGGAGAGGAACATCTTGCTTGGAAAGATGGAGGGACAGCATAAGAGAGGAAGACCCTCAAACATGCAGTCTACAGTGACTGCAGCGACGGGCTCGAGAGCATCAAGAGATTGTGAGGATGGTACAGGTCAAGGGCAGTGTTTAGATCAAGATCAGTTGTTCATAGGGTCACTATGAGTTGTGCTCAACTCAACGGCATCTAACAACAATAATCACATACATATGTGTGTGTGCATGTATACACACACACATACTTGTACAATTTATGACAAGCGTGCGTCTCCTGTCTGTTTGTGCTTGTCTTATGACCCATTTATGCCCAGCACCGGGACACAGTTAGGGCTGAGAACAGATGGGTAAGCTGACTGCAAGAACCCCACCTTTACTCATGGCTAGAGTGCAGCTTTATCCTAGAACCACAACAGGCTGCCACCAAGCTCCAGCCGCAGTAAGATTTGCCAGAGTCTCCTCCAGCATGAGCACGGGCGCAGGAGGAGTGGTAGTCGATTGGATGAGCTCATCACTGTAATTCCAAAGCTAGGAATAACCTGCTACATCAGAGTCACAGGGACCCAAGCAGGTCCCTCCACCCCAAGAGAAAACGGGCATCTTCCTCCGACTGGTCTCCAGGTCAGTTGGACCCAATGCATCAGTTGGATCTTTCTTGGTCCAAACCCACTCTGACATGAGACAGACAAGGTTTTATTCCTCCAGCAGGAAGAAGGGGGGCTTCCCAATGGGCAGCATGTTGAGGATCTCCTGCAGGGGGGAGATGTTACAGTGGTGGAGGTTGGCAGGTTGAGGATACTCATAGACGCCTTGGAAGGAAGGCTTGGCAACTACTTTCGAAAGTCACGGCCATTGTCAACCCAAAGGTGCGCAGTCGTTCTCTGAACACTTGACATCACCAGGACTTGGAATCTCTCAGTGGGTTGTCATACCTGGAGGCATGCTACTGACACCTAGCGGTGGGAGGCCAGTAGTGCCGCTCAACACCTGAGCCCCACTGCAGAGACAGACACCTGCCCTGCTCTGTGTGCCCTTGGAAGAAATTGAGAGCCTCACCTTCAGTGATCTCTAGTCCACGTGAGATAAAGCACGCGTTCGGCTTAGCTGTCTACACAGGGCTAGACCAAACCCAAAGAGGTCTGTAGGCCCCAGCTGGAGATGCTGTTGTCCGCGAGTAGCTTCCCTCACCTCACTGAGCCTCATGTCACGTACATTAGGACCCAAGACTCAAGGACGTGTCCCTGTGTCTTATCCTGTTATCACCTGACTTCTCCATGCCTGAGGCTTTGGAGAAGGGTCATGGTGATGCAATGGTTAACGTTCTGGGCTGCTAACCAAAAGGTCAGGGTTTCAAATTTGTCAGTCACTCCGTGGGGAAGAGACGCGCCAGTCAACTTCCATAAAGTTTACAGCCTTGGAAATCCTGTGGGTCAGGCCAGCTCTTCCCTTTGTGGCGTCTGAGAGCAGGGATCAACTCGTTGACGTTGGATTTGGACTTTTGGGATTTGTGTATTGGGGAATACCTGGAGTATACTCAAACTCTGACTCCGGTGGCCCTTAAATTTGTGGCTGTGGTTGTTCCATGAAGCCTGTCAAAAAGGAAGAAGGTGATCTGGAAACCAGGAACTCCACATTTTTACCGCAACACTGCCCTAGGTCTGTGTCCTCAAGCAAAACCTTTCCTACTCTGGGAAGTACTTTCCCTGCCTCTAGAGCAAGAGTGGCCTCCACTTCCTAAACAAGATGCCTCTGGAAACTCTATGAACTTTGACAAATGTCGATAGCTGTAGAGGGGCTTCTGGCCTTTTGTTCATGGGGTCGCTATGAGTCGTGCTCGACTTGAAGACAATCAACAACAACAACAACAAAGAATGGTTTGGATGGAAGACCTCTCAGTGGCATCTCAGTTCAGTCATCATCTTGGACCACAGCCTGATTGGTTTCTTGGGTAATCATGGTCCAGTCCCGTCCACTTCCGGAGCCCCCTTCCCTCTTCCATAATAAGGGGCTGTGACTTCCTGCTCAGGGCTACCGTCAGATGTCAGACGAGGAGTTAAGAACATAGAATTTGTGCTTCTGGTTCTGCTGTGTCCCTTACTCTGTGACCCTGAACTGGTAGCCTCATCTGTCAGGGCCTTGATTTCCTCATCTGTAAATTGGGGACAGGAGTGCAGTCTCTGTCACAGAACGTTTAGATGATAGAATGCATGCAAAGTGGCCAGAGGAGTGCTTCTTGTTGTTGTTATTTGCCGTCGAGTCACTTGCGACTCATAGCGACCCTATGTACAAGAGCCCTAAATGCCGTTCTATCCTGTGCCACCCTCATTGTCTCAAACATCCTCATTCCCACCACTCCACTCACAGAATCGATCCATCTCATCGAGGGTCTTCCTCTCCTGCGCCGTCCCTCCACTCTCCCAAACATGATGTCCATCTTCAAGGACCAGTCCCTCCTTGCAACATGCCCAGAGTATGTCAGACGAAGCTTCAGAATGCTTGCCTCCAAGGAGCACTCCGGCTTCACCCTCTCCAGGACAAACCTGTTTGTTCTTCTAGCAAAGAGTGCTTATCCAATGGTAATGCTTATAGGCATTTTTTGTTCATTTTTGTTTCTTCTAATGATGTTGATGATGTAGAATATGCTTGCCACAGCCTGGTGTGTGGGGAATAGTTAATAAACTGTTCTTTACTGGTACCTGGAGCTGGTCAGTAGCTGGAGATGGCCAGAATCTGGGCTCAGCACTTTCTTCTCTCTCTTGCAGGACAATGCGGTCCTCCATCTCTTGGGGCCTCCTCCTGCTGGCCGGCCTGTGCTGCCTGGCCCCCACATCCCAGGGAGATGCTGCCCAGGAAACAGTCGTGTCCAAGCATGAACACGACGAGCACTACGAAGCAGCCTGTCACAAGATCGCCCCACACCTGGCCGACTTCGCCTTCAGTCTGTACCGTGAGGTGGCCCATCAGTCCAACACCACCAACATCTTCTTCTCCCCAATGAGCATCGCTGTCGCCTTAGCCCTGCTTTCCACTGGGGCCAAGTCTGAAACCCACACCCAGATCCTCGAGGGCCTGCAGTTCAATCTCACGGAGATAACTGAGAGTGAGATCCATCACGGCTTCCAACACCTCCTCCACACCTTCAACAAGCCGGACAGCCAGCTCCAGCTGACCACAGGCAACGGGCTGTTCATAGCTGATAATCTGAAGCCATTGGAGAAGTTTTTGGAGGATGCTAAGAAGCTGTACCACTCAGAAGCCTTCTCTGTCAACTTTGAGGACACGGAAGCAACAAAGAAACAGATCAATGATTACGTGGAGAAGGGAACCCAGGGGAAAATTGTAGACTTGGTCAAAGAGCTTGACAAAGACACGGTTCTTGCTCTGGTGAATTACATTTTCTTTAAAGGTAAGTTGCACAGCCAGTTAAAACTAGTAGCTACCACAGAAACATCAGAAAATATTCTCCAAGACTCAGTTCTTAAACTTCTCTTGTGATGCAGTCGGGGGCATGCCAGGGCTTATCTGCAGAGATCATTCCTTTTTCCATCTGCAACCAATAAGTAATTCGTCGTCATCACGTAAGGGTGGGAAATGTTCATTAAGCAGTACCAAGTAATCTTCTCTACAGGACATCTCAGAGCCTTTAATAGGCCAAGGTACATGATAACTTCTACCAGGGAGAGGGGGTAGGATAGATCATGCTTTTATAAAATATAAAATTAGAATGTTTTAAAGTAATCTGAGTGGAATAATGTGTCATGGAATGCGCTTTAGAGATAAGTGGTGTCATAGAAGGGAAGTTGACGTGAGGTTAGAAAGGCCTGGATTCAAATACTGTGAGACCACTTGTTGTTGTTGGGTATTGTCAAGTCAGAGCTGACCCATAGTTGACCCTCCAGCGGGTTTTCAGAGGCAGTTAATCGCATGGGAGGAGAATGCCCACCCTTCTCCAAAGTAGCAGCTGGTGGATTTGAACCATATGCCTTTGGGGATTGTAGAGCCGCTTCTTGACACTAGACCACCAGTGCTCCCCTTAGGAGATGGATTCTCTGAGGTCCTACCTATCCATCTGTAATATGGAAATAATCAAATTCTTATTATCAGAGGCTGTAAGGACTAAACAAGTTAGACTGTCACAGGGGGGTGCAAACTTAACACACTTGGCTTCTAACCCAGAGTTTGGAGGGTCAAGTCACTCAAGAAGAGGCGCCTTAGAAGAGAGACCTTGATCTACTTCCGAAATCTCAGGGGATGACCACTCTGTAGAGCATGCGGACAGGATCATCATGAGTTGGAAAAGGCTCAACAGTAACTAGTTTTTGGCTTGAAAAAGGTCAGAAGCCACACAGACTGTGCCCAACATCTTGTAGGTGCTCAGCTAGCATCGTGTCTGATGTTGCCTAGGATGTTTAATGTGCCAGGAGCTTCTCAGCTTCAGAAAGCATTAGAAACCCATGCTCGAAATTGTCCATAGTGACTTTAGAGGGTGTCCTGTGGAAATAACTGGAGTAGGGAGATTAAGTATCAGGATGGATGGCAAAGAGATTGAGATTGTTCACAGCTTCAGTTTGCTAGGCTCCACAGTCAACACTCTTGGCACCAGTAGCCAGGAAATCAAAGAACCTATTGTGATGGGAAAGTCTGCAGTTAGGGACCTCTTTAAAGTACTCAAGAGCAATGGTGTCTCTCTGGAGACTAAGGTGCGCCTGATACAGGCCATGGTCACTTGTTATGCATCAGAGAGTTGGACAATGACTAGGGATGATAGAAGGAGAATTGATGCCTTTGAGCTGTGGTGCTGGAGAAGAGTACTGAATGTACCATGGACTGCCAAGAAAACAAACAGATTCATCCTAGAGAGGGTTAAACCAGGCTACTCCTTGGAGGCAAGGATTCTGGGGCTTCGTCTGACATACTTTCGACATGTTGTAAGGAGAGACAGGTCCTTGGAGAGGGACCTCATGCTTGGGAGGGTGGAGGGACAGCACAGGAGGGGAAGACCCTCTATGAGGTGGATTGATTCAGTGACTGGGGTAATCGGGATGGGTGTGGCAGAGGCAGTGCGATTGGCACAGGATAAAGCAGGGTTTAGGGCTGTTGTACACAGGGTCACTATGAGTGGCAAACGACTCGATGGCATATAACAACAAACAACAACAGGGAGATCAAGGTCAAGGCAGAGGCAGCTTGCTTCACAGAGATGTCTCCCTTCCTCTGGAGTCAGAGTGGTGCAATGTCAAGTGAACCTGGTCGCTGCATGACCGAATGCCAGCCCTGTGCTGTGGCTCTAAGCAGCCTCAGTCTCCTCCTCCTGTCGAGTGAGAAAGGTGGGCTCAGTGCCCTCCGGTACGTCCCCACTCTGACCTGCCATGTTGGTGATGCTCTCCTGGTGTAGTGAAGAAGGGGCTTCCTGGCCACCTGCATTTCCTGCTGGTCCTGGAGAAGGCTTTCTGAGGAGGAATAAGAATGTCTCTGTTGAATGCTGACCAGCCTAGCATCTTAGTTAGCTAGTGCTGTTGTAAGACAACCACCCAGGTGCAGGGCTGGCTTTAGCAAACAGAAGTGTCCTCTCTCAGGGTCCAGGAGGCTCGAAGCCTGAATGCAGACAGGTACTGGCTTTGAAGGAAGTTTTCTCTCTTGGCTTGCTCATACTTTAGCAGGAGGTCCTGATTTCCTTTCAGCATTTGGAGGCCCTGTGTCCCTTGGAAGTCTCTATATAGCTTAGCATATATCTCCTGTTGATTCTAGAATGTTCTGAGTGTAGGAAAGTGGCTCCAAAGGCCATGCTCTGGTCGCATCCTTCCTTGAGGTGGTAGAAGGTCCCTCTCAGCTGACTCTGCTGGATTATCTCCCCTTGTCAGTCTCCTAAACTAAAGGATGTTTCAGGCACACCCTTCAGAAACTCAAGGTCAGGGTTTACTTCAGGTCAGGGCTGTGGCCAAATTAAGAATGTTTTGTCCCATTCTTAATCCTCTCACATCTGATTGGTGTAAGAGATTATGAGGAAGTATCACATACTTTACTACTGAACCACTGAGAGTCACAGCCTCACCCAGTGAACACAGTTGAGATGACACAGTAGAGAAGCCACAGTTCAGTCCATGACAATTGCCTATTGGCAAGGCCAGGTGGTGCCAAGGCATACCTTGGGAAGCTTCATATGCTGCTCACTAGTTTTCACTGCTTCTCCCTCAAACCAACCTCAAAGTAGCATCAATTTCCAATAAAAACACTGGCTATGAACATATTTGCAAAAGAAAGCTGAAGCCCCTGTCCAACTAGGTTGGTGCCTCTGAGGCTCTGAGATAGCCACTGGGGAGCCTCTGCTAGCCTCGGACTAGCCCCACAAAAGCCTTTTCAATAGTCTGGATGCGTTTTACGCTGGCCCTATTTTTCACAGAAGAAGAAGATACTGAGGGTCAGAGAGCAGTATCTCCCCAGTAGGCTCAGAGTTCATTACCTGGTTTGACCCTGCCCCCGGCTGACACCCACTTCCTCCGTCTGCAGGCAAATGGAAGAAGCCTTTTGAGGTGGAGAACACCCAGAATGGGGACTTCCATGTGGACGAGGCGACCACGGTCACAGTACCCATGATGCACCGGCTGGGCATGTTTAACATCCATAGGCAGGAGGACCTGTCCTGCTGGGTGCTGCTCATGGACTACGTGGGCAACGCCACGGCTGTCTTCATCCTGCCTGACTCAGGAAAGATGCAGCAGCTGGAGGACAAGCTCACCAAGGAGCTCCTCGCCCAGTGGCTGGAGCACAGAAACCGACGGTGAGTCTGCATCCAAGGGCCGAGGCACAGCAGGACCACAGGGTTAAGCAGAGTGCACCCACTCATTCCCTGGGACCACAGCTGCCATGGTGTCTTAGATGGGCACTGGGAATGGGGCCAAAGTCTTGGCCTTTGTGACAGCCCTCGAATCATGAATGCTGACCTTGGTTTTGAAGAGAGACACCAACATGGTGCTGTGAGGGAATTGAGACCACAGCACCTTCCTGGGTCAAGGCAGCAAGGAATTTGGAATTAAATGATAGACCGTCAATGGACAGATGAGAGTGTCTGCCTAGAGAAGGCGTGGCAGAGACCTAGAAGTCAGGGTGTACAGGGCATGTTTGTAGAATGCTGCATTCGTCTGTCACTGGCTAGGGTGGTTTCATGACCATCTTGGTAGTAAAAATATACCTGAGTATGTACCTCAATTATGTGTCTATTTACTTATTCATAAATATGCTTATGGTCCACTAAACGTCATTATTTACATTAGTAAACAAATGGTGCATCAAATTAAAATAACAACGTAAGTTTTAACTCATTGAAGTGGGATTCCCACCACACCCCACACTGGTCCCTGAACCCTAGGAGGACAAGGTGTGTGCTGACTCTCAGATGGGTCACAGGACCTTGAGGGACAATCCACACACTTGTTTGGACCTCTGGTCTGCTCTCCCTCTTTCCCTGTGGAAAGAGAGCGCTGGACAACTGAGCATCCCCAACTCCAGACAATCACTCATCACATGTCCCTCAGCATCTGTCATTTGTCCCAAGTGACATCCTGGGGGGGGGGGGACACTCAGGATCCAGGGAAACTCCCAGAGCGGCAGGTGACCATACCACTGGGGCTTAGAATATGACACTCTTCAAAGAGGACACACAAGTTTTATCTAGAAGGCTTTTTAGAGGTGGTACCAGACAATTGTCAGATTATTACGATTCCTTTGAAAAGGGCCAGCATCCTCCCAACTTACGTGAACAGAAAGCAAACCTGTAGAATGACACAAGGCTGCCGCTGCTTACCGAGTGGACAGGAGGACAGGGGATGAGCAGGGAAGTGACAGGGAACCCTTCTACCTCGTGGTGGAGCAGTGCTGGCTGCAGGGCGTGGACCAGCTCAGAGCCAACTGCCCTGCTTTCTTTCTCTTCATGACAGATCTGCCAGTGTGTCTCTTCCCAAACTGTCCATCTCTGGAACTTACCAACTGAAAGAACTCTTGGGAAAACTGGGCATAACCAATGTCTTCACCAACTCAGCCGACCTCTCAGGAATCACTGACACATTGCCTCTGAAGGTGTCCAAGGTAAGATCATCCCAAGGGCTGGCTTTGTCCCTCATCTGTTGGTTTCATGTATGTGGGGGCCTCAGCTCAGGCAAAGTGAACACAGACAAGAATCCAGCTGGATCCGCTCCACTGGACGAAGGTCAAGTGGTCATCTGGAGGGTATGGACTTGGGGTGTTCCTAGCATTTCAGTGACCTTGACTGAGCTTTTGCTGACTCTCAGGCTCACATTTTCTTCTCCATGACATAGTTTACCCAGATTTAGAAACAGAGGCTTAGTCTGGTGATTTCAAAGACCTCTCCACCCTCAGTGCCATTTGACATTTGGGGAATTTCGACAAACCACTGAGTCACAGTTAACAGATGGCTCCAGCCAAACGGGTAGTTTATTCCAATCCATAAATGGTCATTAGAGAAGCAACCGCTGTTCAATTATTGACTGAAGGCCTGGTTTCATATGGGTCATTTTGAAGGTCATCATCTAAGATCTTGCCCAAGGAGACTAAAATCTAATGGCATACACAAGGCAGACGTGGCAGGCAGGCAGAGAGAACCTTCCACATTGTGTAGTTGGGGCTGTGTCCCAGGAGGGAGAGGGCTGCAGGTCAGGAAGGGAGAGGTGAGTGGGGAGGTGGAATCAGGGGAAGGTCTTGATAGAGTGAGTGGAAGTGCATATGGACACAGAGCAAAGAGAAGAACCAGGGAAGGAAAGGACAGGCCAGGTGGAGAGGTCGGAGGGGCAGAGGTGGGAGGGGAAGACAGAGCAGGAGGTGGGATGGCATCAGGTGTGGATACTGTGACCAATGCTAGAAGGTTGCAGTTGACACAACTCAAGAGTGTCCCCTTATGGTTATCACAAGAGTCCACATCAGGATGGATGGTGAAGAGATTGAGATTGTTCACAGCTTTAGTTTGCTTGGCTCCATGGCTAACACTCTTGGTACCAGTAGCCAGGAAATAAAAAAATGTATTGTGATGGGAAAGTCTACTGTTAGGGACCTCTCCAGGGTACTGAAGAGCAATGACGTCACTCTGGAGACTAAGGTGCATCTGATACAGGCCATGGTTTTTGCAATCACTTGTTACGCATCAGAGAGTTGGACAATGACTAGGGAGGTTAGAAGGAGAATTGATGCCTTTGAGCTGTGGTGCTGGAGAAGAGTATTGAATGTACCCTGGACTGCCAAGAAAACAAACAGATTCATCCTAGATAGGGTTAAACCAGGCTGCTCCTTGGAGGCAAGGATTCTGAGGCTTCGTCTGACATACTTTGAACATGCTGTAAGGAGAGACAGGTCCTTGGAGAGGGACATCATGTTTGGGAGGGTGGAGGGACGGTGCAGAAGGGAAAACCCTCTATGAGGTGGATTGATTCAGTGACTGGGGTAATTGGAATGAGCGTGTCAGAGGCAGTGAGATTGGCACAGGATAGAGTAGGGTTTAGGGCTGTTGTACATAGGGTCACTATGAGTCGCAAGCGACTCGACGGCACATAACAACAACAACAGTGAAGTGTACATGGGGAGGTGGGAGGAGTGTGTGGGGGGCAGGGATTGTATACCAAAGAAAGAATTTTTCTTTTACTTTTTCAAAGAGAGGAGCAAACTGAGGCAGAGGGGCAGGGAGGGGGAGGGGGAGGGCTGGGCAGGGAGAAAAGTGCAACAATGAATGAATGGAAATCCAAAATCTCTGTAAATGTTCATTACAATTATTAAAATAAAATTTTAGAAAAACACACTACAGAACAGTGCATAGATAGGGAAATGCTTAAAGTTCAAGCAGGATTTAGAAGAGGCTGTGGCACCAAGGATATCATTGCAGATGTCAGATGGATCCTGGCTGAAAGTCATGAATACCAGAAGAATGCCAATCTGTGCTTTATTGACTAGTCCAAGGCATTTGACTTTGTGGGGCTGACAGTGAGAAGAATGGGAATCCCAGGCACTTAATAGAAAAAAAAAAGAGTGCCCCCTTCTCACACACACACACACACACACACACACACACACACACACACAAGCACGCACATGCACACAGAAGCAGGAACTCACAAATGCACACAGGTACAAAGAGAAATGGATGCTTGCATAAGTATGTATAACAAGAAAATGCACACACATGCACATGCCAGTGCCCACATGTGTGTAGCTCCACGCACCTAGCTTATACTCATACATGTGCACATACAGCCAGACGCAGGCACAGCTGTACACACAGGTGCCCTTACTCTCAGGGACACACACAGTTAAATGCATGCAGCCACACGTGGGTATGCACACACTCCTCCACCCAGGAACACGCGTATCTGGATATGCACAGTCTCACACACTCAGCCACGTGTACTTACGCAGAGGGAACATAGAGTCACAGAGAGACCCTCAAACACAGCCCCCCACAACCGTTTTTGAAACACCGCACTCTGACTCGTTCTTTGCATGAAGGAGTGGCTCAGGCCCAGAGTGGGGATTTCCTAGCGAGGACACACAGGCTTCAAGAAGCTCCACAGCCTCTCTGCGGGGATACCGCTAGTAGGGAAAGTGGGATTTGAACTCAGATCCCTGTGATGGAAGTCTGCCTTCATCTGACCACATCACATGATTCCCTCGTGCGTATTGATGAAACTGTTCACATGGCAGACACCCAGCTTGGGTTCGGAGGGTGATTTGTTGTTATTGTCTACAGGTTAGGAACGTTAAAAAGACCCATTTCCTGGAAGGTCCCCATGGTCAGAGGCTGCCCTTGTGCCCCGTGGACAGGGCCCTCCACGACTGACCCAGCTCCAGCCTTTCTCCACCTGAACAGGTTTCTTTCTGTGCTTTCTCCCCTGCAGGTGGTGCATAAGGCCATGCTGACCATAGATGAGAGAGGGACAGAAGCTGCTGGGGCCTCCTTCCTGGAAGCCATCCCCATGTCTATGCCTCCCTCTGTTGAATTCAACCAACCTTTCATCACCATCATCTTTGATGACCATACCAAAAGCCCCCTCTTTGTGGGAAGGGTGGTGAACCCCTCACAGATGTAACTGCCTCTCCTCCGGGGCCAGGTGTCCTCACGTGGGAAACAATAAAGCCCGTGCTGACCTGACCAAGCTAAAGTGTGGACTTGACAATCTCCTCAGCCCCATCTCTAAGTTTCCCTTTAGTCTCCAAGAATACATGGGCGGTCCAGGTCACAAGATCCTTCAGGTATTCATTTCTTGAATCTTTATCAGGCATTTACAGTGTGCCAGGCACTGCACAAGGCACAAGGAATTAAAAGTTGAAATGCTGGCTGAATCCACGTGGTACAGGCTTAGGCAGCTGAGGCAGAAAATTCAGCATCTCCAGGTGGGTCAGAGACTCTCCAGGTTGACTGAGCAAAGGTTCAAAGCCACACACTGTCTCAGGCACCCAGGTGTCGACTATGTTCTCCCGTCAGCTTCCCTTCCGACTCTCAGTGCCTCAGCACCTGACTGAGTGAGCTACTCCGGGGCTGGTGGGACCACAGCCTGCTGTTCCTCATAGAGCAGTTGGTTCACAAGGATGCACTGAGTTGCAGTTCCTCCAGCAGCAGTAGGGAGGCCATGTCCCTAATCCCATCGTGCTTTGTCACCTGAACCGAGCATGGTGCCCTCCACCTCACAGACTTTCTCCTGTAAGCCTTTCTCCACAGGGATAGACAGGAGACACATGTCAGCTTCCTTGTCACCTCCACTCAAAGCGAAATAAATTCCCCAAACAGCCAGACTAGTACTGTCAAGCTTTTCCAATTTGTGGTGACACTATGTGAATTCAAGTAAAAGTGTGCTCCATAGCTTACACAGTGCCCTTTCAGAAGTACATCATCAGGAATGTCTGGGTGGATTTGAACCACCAACCTTCACTGCTGTCAACCAAGCACTTAAGAATTTGTATCATTCAGGGACTCCTATCCAAATAGCTCTCATCTTAGAAAGCAGGTCCATTTTCCTCAGGAGAATAAAGATTCCCTAGGTTTTGGCCTTGATCCTCCATCAAGCTCAAGCCAAACAATAACACCTCCAAGACCACCAACACACTTCCACAGTGTTCTCACCACGTTGTGCCCAAGATGCCCTCAGAAGGTTCTGGAAAGTCATGACCCATCCCCTCCTAGGTCACTGAGAGAGGAACATGGCAGCCCTGGCAATGCTCCTACCTTCTCTCTGCCGGTCCTTTGGCTAAACTCTGACGGGCTACACGGCAACCTTTGCCTTTCTCTTGCTGCTAGTCAGTGTCATGATCTTAAGAGGGGACCACAGCTCAAATGTCAACACTGGAGGCTGGCCCCTTTCCAAGGAGGTGATCTGCTCCTCCCCACAACTAGAAAGCCTTTTTTTTTAAGGACTTCGGGACAGTGTTCTTGCAGAGCCCCACCCAAAGGGACCTTCTCCTTTCTCCTTTCTAGACTCAGAGAAATGTGCTTGTCGGGTGGATTATATTGCCCACCCCCTGCAAAACCAGCAAATTCCCTCCCTTCAAAGCCAGGCTCTCGGGATGTTTACCTTAGCCTTAGCTTGAGTCAGATGTGCATAACAACAACAACATTCAATAGGCTAAAATCGGTCAAATATACATAGAAACCATGGCCTGTATCCGGTGCACCTTAGTTTCCAGACTGACATCATTGCTCTTCAGTACTTGGAGAGGTCTCTGACAGCAGACTTTCTCAATGCAATTTGTCTTTTAATTTCCTGGCTGCTGATACCAAGAATGTTCATTGTAGAGCCAAGAAATATTTATTTGAACACCTACTGGTGCCCCTCAGTTGCTAAAGAATGTCCCTCATTCCTGCACACGCATATATACACACTCACACACATACATTCACGCAAGCACATGCATGAATATTCACACAAATGCAAGCACACTTACGTCCATGTTTATACACTCTCAAAATCACGTTCAGTGTCAACTACTGCATAGGATCTTCACAGCCGCCCAATGAGATCGGTACCATCCTGATTTCCACTCTATTGATGTGAATGCTGAAGCTCAGGAAAGGTGAGACAACTTACTCAAGGTCTCACAAGTGTAGTCATAACTTCTTACAGCTGAGGAAACGAGCACAGAGAGGTGCAGTGGTTGGTGTAAGATCACTCTGAAGGAAAGGCAGGAATGAACTTGAACCCAGAAGGCTCAGCCCCCCCCAGCCCAGGGGTTAGTGAATGGGAGACAAGACTCACACCTGACAGCTCTGAGTCCCTAATCTGAATGCGCATAACAACAACAAAAACATGAGTAGTCAATTCATCAAGGGCCATACAAAGTTTTAGAACCTTGATAGCTGTTAAAAAACCCTTGAGGGAATGACTCACTGATCTTAGATACTGAGGAACATGTTGTTATGTATCATTGAACTGACTACAACTCACGGTCACCCTCCAAACAACAGCTCTGAACCTTGACTACCCTGAGCCAAATTCACTGTCTCTAATGCACCTGCCCCCACTGCCACCATCACTGTACCAGTCCATCTCTTCCAGAGTCTTCCTCTCCTGTGCTAACACTCTACCCTTCCAAGCATGATGTTCTCCAAGGATTGATCCTTCCTGAAAATATCCCCAAAGTATGTGAGACAGAGCTTGAAAATCCTTGCCTCCAATGAGCCACCTGGTTTCACTTTCTCCAGTACAGACATGTTTGTTCTTCTTGGCAGTGTACTGTATGTTTATTCCTTTCTCCAGCACCACAACTCAAAGGCATCAATTCTTCTGTCACTCTTAGTCATGTCCAGCTCTCAGATGCTTAGCACACAATTAAGAAGACCATGGCCTGCCCAGATCACATGCAATTTGGCCTCTAGACTGACACTGTTGCTCTTTAACATTCTAGAGAGGTCCTTGAAAGCAGAGTTTCTCAATGCAACTCATCTTCTGATTTCTTGACTGCTGTTTCTGAGAGTGTTAACTGTGAGTCTGAGCAGATTAAAGCATTAACAACCTTAATCTTTTCTTCTTCTATCATAATGCTGCCTATTGGCCCAGTGGTGAGGATCTTTGCTTTCTTGATGTTGAAATGCAATCATATTGAAGGCTACAGTCCCTAACCTTCTGCAGCAAATACTTAAAGTCCTCCTCAGTCTCGGCGAGCATGGTTGTGTCACCCGCATGATACAGGTTGTTCACGAGTCTTCTTATCCTGATGCCAAATTCTTCTTCACAAACTGTTGAATGATCTACTCACCATGTAGACGGAAAGGTGTGGAGAAAGGATACATCACTGGCATGGCACTCTCCTTTCTTGATTCTGAACCATGCCGTGTTCCCTTGCTCTGTTCAGACAATAGCTTCTTGGTCTAGGTACAGGTTTCACATGAACACAGTCAAATTCTGGGGCTTCGTCTGACATACTTTGGACATGTTGTAAGGAGGGACCGGTCCTTGGAGAGGGACATCATGCTTGGGAGGGTGGAGGGACGGCACAAGAGGGGAAGACTCTATATGAGGTGGATTGATTCAGTGACTGGGGTAATCAGGGTGGGTGTGTCAGAGGCAGTGGGATTGGTACAGGATAGAGCAGAGGTTAAGGCTGTTGTACATAGGGTCGCTACGAGTTGCAAGCAACTCAATAGCACATAACAACAACAAACAACAACATTCTTCTCAGTGATACACACAGTCATATGTCTTTTCATAGTCAATAAAACATAAGTTTCTATCCATCTAGTACTCTCTGTTGTCAGTCAAGATCCATTTGACATTCATTAGCAAAGAAAACCCTGGTGCCACTGCCACTTTTAAATGCAGTTTGTACTTCTGGAAGTTCCCTATTGACGTACTGTTCTAGTAGCTTTTTGGATAATCTTCAGCAAGATTTTGTTTGCATTTGATATTAGTGATATTGTTCAATAATTTCCACAATCAATTGGATCACCCTATTTGAGAATGGGAATAAATATGGATCACCCCTTAGTCAGTTGGCCAGGTAGCTGTCCTCCATATTTCTTGACTAATATTGACACAATGACTACAGCAATGGACTCAAGTGTGTCACAGATGGTGGACAGCTGTCACAGGTGGATAGGACAGTTCGGATCTGTTGTTCGCAGGATGACAATGAATTGTGCTTGACGTGACATCACAACAACAATCATAGGAGCATAGTCATAGGTACAACTGGTATACAAAATCCACTAAGACTGTATTTTACATTTTATTTCAGTGAGCAAACACCGGGGTATTAAAAGCTTCCAGGCGGTCATCTAAGTTGCAAACCTTGGAGCCTCCACATCCAGAGCAAAGAAAAGTGAAGAAAATAAAAATTCAAGGAAGTAGTTAGTCCCATGGACTAGTAATCCATAGCTTTCAGTACCTCGAGATCAGAAGGCCTCTCATCAGAAGATTGTGGCTGGCTGCTACTAAAAACCTATAGAACAAAATGAAAAACTATAAGAATGGCCAAATTTACTGATCTTATAGTGACTGGAAGAGAGTGCTAGTGACCTGGGGGGTTAGGAGTTGCACCAAGTATTGAAAAACATCACTTCAAATCTACCAGCTGTTCCTTGGGAGAAAGATAATGTCCTGTGCAATTAACAGCCCTGTGAAAACTCACTGGGGAGTCATTTATGAGTCAATTCCTATTTGATGACACATGAAAGCAACAATATAGAAACTGGTGAAACCAGTGAGATTGTGTCACTTGGACATCCTTAAGCCCTGGAACTGAACCCACCACTAGGGGTGAAACAAGAGACAAGCCTACCACACCTGGGAGGAAAATACTGCCAATCAAGCACATGAGGTCAATGAACTTGACAAAAACAAATAAAAAACAATGAAACAAAACCTCCAAAGTCAAGTACAAATCAGAAGGCTGGAAGGAGTAGGGAAGTAGAAAACATGGATAAAATAGAAATAAAAAAATCCAGGCAGAACATGGAAACAGCCCAAATGTCCAACCACAAATAAATGGCTTGAGAAATTATGGTACATTCACACAATGGAATACTATGCAGCACACAGGAGCAATGATTTTGTAAATTATTACCCAACTTGGGAGGGACTGGAGAGCATTATGCTGA